CAGGTGGGGCGCGCTGCGACCTGCCCTGTCTGTGGGCTCACCTCTCTCGGGGGTGGCAGCTGCGCCCCGCTCTGTGCAGCCCGTGGCAATTCTCTCTTGTGACCCTCTGTGGAGCGAAGTTTGTGCGCGCTCCAGACCCAGCCCCTCCTTTCTGGCGGCTGCTTTCTTCCAGTTCCCTTCATTCATCAGAAAACCCTCCGACAGGAGCGAGTCCTTTGCTAGACACACCTGCTGGAGATACTCCTTTTCTTTCCTAGACACTTGGCGAGAGACAATGGACAGCAGCCTTTGGTCTTGTCTGTGATCAGCATGGCTTGTGTGGCTTGCCCCAGGGCCAGCGACAGCCCTTTCTCCTCAGACAAGCATGCCCGTCTCCTCCTCGCCCAGATCAACAAGATGAGATGTGGGCATAATTTCTGTGATGTGCAGCTCCAGGTTGGTGAAGAAGCATTTGAGGTCCATCGCCTCGTCTTAGCTGCAAGCAGCCCTTACTTTGCTGCTCTGTTCACGGGAGGGATGAAGGAGTCTTCCAAGGATGTGGTACGCATCCTAGGAGTAGAGGCTGGCATCTTTCAGTTGCTCCTGGATTTTATTTACACAGGTATATTTATGTTGTTTGCTATTCTGAATTGAAAGTGTAGTGTTGAGGAGAACCTTGTGCACAGTGCTATGACAGTTATTGGCTGGCTCATACCATTTATGTTGCAGCTGACCTATGCAGCTTACAGTACAGTGCTGAGAGTCCTATTAGCACATTTAAAACCAGGCTGGATGAAATATCTGTAAAAGTACAACAGGAATGAGTTCTGTACTGGCATGGAGAGGAACTAGAGGACCTAAAATGTCGTCTTTATCTACATTCTAAGATTCTGTTTTGCTGAAAATACAGTGCTTGTACAGCAAGTTGAAATATACTGTAGTACTGTGTGTTGTATTTACAACAAAAGTGAGTTGTCACTGTAAATTTTTGGATGCATATAAACATGTATCCACTGTACATATGTGAGGTGTAGTTTGGCTGCTGTTCATTATCAGGTTGGCCCTTTCCACCAGGGATGTTAGCCTTAACTGAGTTTGGCTGCTTCTCCCTCAACTTGACATTTTTAGACTTGGACCCACCTTCCTGAGCTGATCTGTAAGGTCGCCATCCTCTTTATGCCTTTTTTTTAAAGCTTTCAAATAATCAGATAACCACTAGGGCTAGGTTGAGTAGCATTCAATGGAAGCTGACATCTGTTTATATATATTTTAATCAGAACTTAAGTTTACATAGCAACAACCTAAGTAACTATTTTGCTAATCCTCTCTCCCTTCTATTATTTCTTACTTCCAGTACAATGCATATTCCTATTGAAATCAGGTTAAAGCAGAGCCTTTGCAGGATCAAGGTGTAAAAGAAAGGGGGCAAGAAGGGAATATTTTGTGTGTTGCTGATAAAAAAAAAAAAAGTATATGCACCTACAAATACAATAAATCATAGTTCTTGAATTATGCTGTGGTCTTGAGTAGATGAGTCATCGAGTTAACCATGCAGCAGCAATAAAACTGTATGTAAATCACAGGAGTTTGGGGTTATCCCTCATATGTGTTTATTTGGAGTTGCATACTTACATTAAAATTGATAAATTCCTTTTCAGACACTAGTAAACACCATATTGAGTTGGTAAGGTGACAGTGATTTTGCAAGGCAAATGAACGTATAGTTCAAAACATCTAACTCAAATGGAAAAGACTAAGGCTTAGCACTGCTTAGACTGTTCTAACATCTGAAGTATGGCCAGTTTGTCACATGTTGTCCTCTGTACACAGGAGTCGTGAATGTTGGTGAGAGTAATGTTCAGGAGCTGATAATAGCAGCAGACATGCTACAGCTGACTGAAGTTGTGGACCTTTGTTGTGAATTTCTGAAGGGACAGATCGACCCCTTGAACTGCATTGGACTCTTCCAGTTCTCTGAGCAAATTGCCTGCCATGACCTTCAGGAATTCACAGAGAATTACATCCATGCTCACTTTCTGGAAGTGCATTGTGGTGAGGAATTCCTGGCACTAACAAAGGAGCAGCTTATTAAAATCTTACGGAGTGAGGAGCTTACTATAGAGGATGAGTACCAAGTTTTCATAGCTGCAATGCAGTGGATTTTGAAGGATCTTGGAAAAAGAAAGAAACATGTGGTGGAAGTGCTGGATCCAGTTCGATTTCCTCTGTTGCCACCCCAGAGACTCTTAAAGTACATAGAAGGTAACAGAGAGAGAGAGAAATGCAGATGTTTGGATGAAGTATTTGTCTTTGGTCACTGGGTTTTGCTTGTTCTGTAATGACTGGTTATTAAATAACTCAATTTCTTTAGCATAATTACTCCTGGGGGAAGTTCTGCTCCATTGTACAATGCAGAATTTTGCAGAAATGAACATTGTGCATGCAGAATTTTCCTTCCCTCACAGAAATGGGCTGCAGTGCTGCTAATCACCACTATGGGTTGCTGAACTCAGCAGAGGCCAGCTCACACAAAGACACTGCTCTAGGAGATGAGGAGAGAGCTGGAGGACTCCTGGCTGCAGCAGTTGCCAGGGTGCCCTGAGGAAAAGTGGGTAGGGCACAGGAAACTGCACCAGCATAGGAACAAGCATTAGGCTGTTTCTCCCTCTGGATCCCTGGGCTCAGGGAAGAGGGAATGCTGGGAGGAAGGCAGATATCTGGGCTGTAGCGAGTATCTGAACCAGAGGGTCCTACAGCTGGTCTCTGGGGCAGGAAAGGGCACAGCGAAAAAGGAACTGGGTTGTTATAGAGGTTTTTTTTTAACTCTTCTGCAGATCAGTATTGTTACAGACTTCTTGACAGGTATTTTGAAATAAATTACCAAAATAATTGAAACTAATAGGATGGTGTAGTGTTGTTTTGACAAATAAAATTTGCAGAAGTTTAAAATATTTTGTGTGCAAAATTTTAATTTTTTTGGTGCACAATGCCCCTCAGTAGTATTTAATATATATTCACATTTTGATTTTTTTTTTAAACTAAGCATTTGTGAAACGTAAAGCAGAATTTGTGCGATTTGTCTTAGTTTTAATATAAGAAGTAGAGATACACTGGTAATAATAGTTGACACATATTTTTCCCTGAGTTGGTCAATTACTGGTTTTATAGTTATCATTGTGACTTTCTTTCATGTCTCTTTTTTTTTAAATTTTCTTTTCCCAGGAGTTCCAGATTTCAGCCTGCGGGTGGCTCTGCAAACCCTGTTGAAAGAATATTGTGAAGTCTGTAAATCTCCCAAAGAGAACAAAGTCAGTACTTTTCTGCAAACATCTAAGGCTCGTCCCCGAAGGAAAGCCAGGAAGTATCTTTATGCAGTAGGTTAGAATCTGGTTGTTTTAACCTTTTTAAAAAACAGTGACTTGATATGTCATATAGGGATGTTAACTTGTGTTTAATCAGCTAATTGAGTGGTTGATGGAATTTCCATTGACTGCTGGATTGGTTGATAAGGGGGAAACTGGAGAGCCACAGTGGAGTTAGCTCCCAGGCCCTGGAGCTAACCCTGCTGAGGCTCTGCTTTTTAAAGGGAGTAAGAGCCACCCAGCTCTTACTCCATTTAAAGGTCAGAGGCACAGTGGGAGACAGGGCACAAGCCGGGAATCAGCTGTCCTGGTTCGCGCTGGTTCCCAGATGTTGCGTCTCTGCTTTTTAAATGGAGTGAGAGCCACCAAGCACACGAGCTAGGACAGCTGATTCCCAGCTCATGCCTGATCCCCTGCTGCGTCTCTGCCTTCCCTGTCCCCCCACGGAGATATTGCTGGGGGGAACTGGGTTTTAAGCTGGCTCCCCCCAGCACTGGCTCCTGCTCCCCCCCTTGCTGACTCTGATAGAAGCAGCAGTGACGGGGAGGACCTAGTTGAGTAGTGACTCGACTAGTCGCTTACATCCCTAATGTCATATTGCATTAAAAATCTTTAAATTGTTTGTGGGGAAAAAAAACAAAAACAAAAAAAGTAGTTGCCAAAATAGTGCAGTTTTGTATACAATTAATCTAATACAGTCTGTTACAGGACTACAATTGTGAATAATGTCTTTATTAGCAAATAATTGGAGCGCATTGCAAAATATAAATACATTTATATTTTATCTTTCTTGAATGCAGTATCATAGTCTGGAATAGTCTTTCGGAAATAATTTGCCTCAAGTGCCAAGCAATAATGCATCCTGTTATGTACACTGTTCACAAGTAGAATATATGTACAAATCTTGCACCCTGTTTGTTTATATTCTTCCAATGGTATTGTGTTTCTTCCCCTTTTTTCCCTTTAAAGTAAGGATTTTTTGTAAATTATCCTTTGGTGAACTTTGTAAATTAATAGGTCTTTTATGAATTAGGGATACAATCAAAGAATGCTCATGCCTTTTGCATTTGGCGTCATACGCAAACATTTTAGTTCTGCTGTTGGTTTGATATGTTTACCCTCTTGAAGTTTGTTTAGAAGCAGTTTCTGCTAATAATGGAAGAGACCATTCCATGAGTGGATGAATTAAGAATTGCAAAACTATCATGAGATTATGGTCATGGGTCTCATAACAATTTTGCCCTCCTCTAGCACCTTTTATTCAGATATCTCAAAGTTCTTTGCAGACATATATTGAATTAAGCTTCCCCGTGATCCTCTGAAGTTGGTCCTATCACCTTCATTTTTCAGATGAGAAAACTGAGCCTGCGATGATGAAATGAATAGAATTGTCAAAGGACACACAATTTGTGGCAGAGACAGAATAAAAAGCCTTATCTCCTCCTAAGGCTCAATACTATCCCAGTATTATGCCTTAACCACAAAATCCTCTTCCTTTTATCAGATACTTAATAAATCTAGGAGAAATTTTTCATTGACACATAGTAAGGTACTTCAGCGTCTAATACTCTGGAAGGTGTTTGCATCAGTCTGTTATAGCAAAAGTCCAGTATAACCAAATAGATGAAATTATCAGTTGAGCTCCAAGTGCTTTACAGAGGAGGACAGTATCAACATTGCATTTTACAGATGGGGAAACAGAGACACAGGTAGGAGAAGTGACTTGCCCAAAATCATCCCAGCAAGCCAGTGGCCAACCTGGGAATAAAACCCAGGTTTCCTGAATCCCAATCAAGAGAGCTCTGCACTAGAGCATGCTACCTCTCGTGATTTTTTTCAAACACTAAAAACATTACTGATTTCTATAGTTTCTGAAATTCCCTGCTGAAGGAAGAAGTCTGATTTGATTAGCATTGGCATAGGCACGACTGCACTGAGGAAAGATGTTACTCACTTTTTATAAAATCTTTTGTTATTATTTTGGCACTTTGTAACAGTTGGGACCACTGCATTAACAATGGCTAGGACCTTGCAAGAAGGGGGGCTGCTAACTTACACATTTACTTTCTATCTGTTGCCTAGGTGGATACACTCGCCTGCAGGGGGGACGCTGGAGCGACAGCAGAGCCCTCAGTTGTGTGGAGCGTTTTGACACTTTCAGTCAATACTGGACCACTGTATCTTCTCTTCACCAGGCTCGCAGCGGGTTGGGAGTGGCCGTGGTGGGAGGAATGGTCTATGCTATTGGAGGTGAAAAATGAAAGACATATGTTAATTCTGGGCCCCTATAACCAGATGATGGTAGGGTATTGCCTCCTGTGAAGTCCCTGGGCAATATTAATTTTAATAGAATGATAGAAATGTGGGACTAGAAAAGACCTAGTGAAGTAATCTGGTCTAGCCCTATGTTCTGAGGCAGGATCTAGCATACCTAGATAATTCCTGACAGGTGTTTGTACAACCTGCTCTTAAAAACCTCCACTGATGGGGATTCCACAGCCTTCCTGGGCTACCTGTTCCAGAATGTATAGTTGATTTTTTTTCCTAATTGCCAACCTAAACTTGTCTTGGCAGATTAAGCCCATTACTACATTTCCTACCTTTGGTGGACATGAAGAACAATTCTTCACTGTCTTTATATCAGCCCTTAATGCATTTGACATGTCCCTCCTCAGTTTTCTTAAGATTAAACATGCCCAGTTTTTTTAACCTTTCTTTATGGATGGGGATTTTCAAATGCTGTTGTTATTTTTTGGAACTTTCCTCTAGACTCTTTTCAATTTACTACTTTCCAAAAGTGTGCTACCCAGAATTGGACATAGCACTCCAGCTGAGGCCTCATTAATGCTGAGTAGAGAGATAATTACCTCTATCTCTTACATGTGATGCTCCCATTAAAATACCCCAGAATAATGTTACCATTTTTGCAACTTCATCACCTTGACTCATGTTCAATTTGTGATCCGCTATAACCTCCCCAGAGTTATAAACAGCACTAACACACAGCCACTTACTCCCTGTTTTGTAAGGGTACATCTGTACTGTACCCAGAGCTCAAAATAAGCAACGAAATTTGAGCTATGCAAATTGCATAGCTTATTTCAAGTTGATTTCAAAATAGAACACTAAAAGCACCAAATTTCAAAATAGAACACTATTCTGAAACATTTCTTACTCCTTGTGGAATGAGGTTTAGAGGAACATCAGAATTATTATTATTTCAAATTATTTGTAAGCTGGACCGACCCCTTAAGTTCCATTCATCTGAAGAAGTGGGTTGTGCCCACGAAAGTTCATCATAGTTTTTTGTTAGTCTCTAAGGTGCTACAAGACTACTTGTTGTTTAAGTTTTTACTTTTAACCCTGTTATCCCTAGGTGCTTACAAACTGATTGTTAAATAATTTGTTCCAATATCTCCATGTATTGAAATTAGACAACCTAGTCTATAATTCCCTGGATCCTCTTTGTTCCCCTTTATAAAATTCACCTCTATGTACCGGTCCAAGTGCTGGTGATCAAGTCAAATCTTGGCACTCCACCTCTGAAAGATTGCTGACCCCTTTTATAGACCTTTATCAGAACCCCGCATAGTCGTCTTTTTCCTAAAAGGAACAGTCCCCATCTTCTTAATCTGTCTTCTTATGAACGCTTCTCCATACTCCTACTTGTTTTTGTTGCGCTTCTGTATACCTTTTAGCTTCTTAGGTGTTTTTGAGATGCGGTGTCAGAACTCCGTACAGTATTTGAGGGAGGAGCATACCATGGATTTATATAGCGACATAATATTATTCATTGTCTTATCCGTTTCTTAATTGACAGAACATTTGGTTCAGTTTTTTGACTACTGCTGCACATAGGGCAGGTATTTTCAGGGAGCTATCCAGAGTGATGCCAAGATCTTTCTTGAGGGCAACAGCTAATTTAGACACTATACTTGTATATGTACAGTTGGGAGTATGTTTTTGAATATGCATTACTTTGCACTTACCAACATTGAATTTTATCAGCCATTTTGTCAATCACCCAGTTTAGTGACATCCCTCTGTAATTCATTGCCGTCTGCTTTGAATTTAATTATCTGTAGTAATTTTGTATCTTCTGCCAATTTTGCTGTCCCATTGTTCACCTCTTTTTCTAGATCACTTATTAATATGTTGAAAAGCACACACGATATGATAGTGTTCATGGAACAAGGATGTTGGGAGAATCTTATATTCTGACACATCCTTGAGGGGGCTCTGCTATTTACCTTTCTCCAATGGGAAAACTGACCATTTATTCCTACCGTTTATTTCCTGTCTTTTTCTGTTGTTGTTTGGCACGTTTAATACAATTGTCATTTTAAATTACACCTCAGTATAATATAAATTATATCTCAGTATAATATAAACTACTCTACAAAAACAGAGCTTTCCTTTTCTCAGCTGATGGTATCCAGGAGGTGGGAAAGTTAGCTCAGTCTGCCTAAAATGAAAGTTGTGTGTACATGTAGTAAAAGGAAACAAAAGATACACTGTAACGTTAAATGATCTATTCTTAAATAAACTCTGTGTTTTCCTTCCTTTGTTAGTAATAGCACTGTAAAGTGCAGTATTTCATACAGAAGTACAAAGCTGCAGAGTTTCACTCGCAGCTGTTTTGGGAAACCATTGCAGAAAACCATTTTCAACACTCATTTAGTTTTCTGATGTAGACAAGGCTTTTGTTGTTTTTGCACTTTGGCAAGATGAGAGCAGCGTCCTTGATTCCAATACTATATGTGAGGCCTGTTCTTGTGGCTGAGCTGGTCAGAGCTTGTATATCTGAATTTCAGAATATTCTAACTTGCTAGTTTTCAACCCATTGGCCCCTTGTGGCCCAATCAGCATATAGCTGTGGCCCACGTGACATCCTCCTGGCCATATAGGTAATACATATATTGTGTGGATGTGGCCCACATAACATACAGCGACCTGTATATGCAGTCCAGAGTGGTAAATGGGTTGAGGACCACTGTTCTAACTCATCTGTTTCTGCCTTTTTTTCTACTAAGGAGAAAAGGATTCAATGATCTTTGACTGTACTGAATGCTATGATCCTATTACGAAGCAGTGGACAACCGTGGCCTCCATGAACCATCCTCGGTCTGGACTTGGAGTGTGTGCATGTTATGGTGCTATCTATGCTTTTGGTAACTATACAGTTTTTTAGGTAAATTTGGTTTTAAGACCATTAGTTCATCTGATCAAATCAGTCTAGGGATTTTAAACTTTAAAATTAAAACCATGTAGCAGGGAGACTTGAAGAACAGCTGTTACTTGTAATTTGCAGCTGATGGTTGGTTTTGTGAGTGCACATGGGGAGATGCCATCATTTCCAAGTGAAGCATCTTAGCCAACCAGTGGAATAACAGGCATTTTCAGAATAAATCCATAATACCCCTGCCAAAATATGTTAGCTAAGTTAATAAGTTAGTCTGATTTTTCTTTAAAAAAAAAAAAAAGCATTAAAAATACCCAGACTTTCTGCTTCAATAGTATCTTTATCTGAGATTCTGTGCTTAACCTCTAAGCCTTCTGTGATGGATGTGAAAACAGAAGTAAAAGGTGATTAAATGACTTCTGGAACAAGTTCATTTGCAAAGCTGAGATTCGAACCGAGAAGTCCATGTGTTCTCAACAGTGAGGCTCACTACTAAATTTTTGGAAGAACTTAAATATGTATTTTTCAAAAGCTTTCACTTAAATAGACCTTTGCTGTCACATCAGCCTTCAAGTACCTTATTTTAAAATGAGGAACTACCAACATACGTGACTTGCAAAAACAAGTTGCTGTACGATCTTGTGAGCACCTGCCTGATGTTATCTTCCTCTGAGTCTCATCATAGATCTTATCTCTGCTGCAGTCTCAAAATCTATAGCACACACATGTATTCCTGTCCCTGCTTAAGATTCTCTATAGGTGCAGTAGTTTTTCTGTACACAGTCAGTTGCCCTATAATGTGTTTCGGGTCCTATAAGCTGTTCTGAGAAGAGGCTGTTTGGTTATCCTCTCTGTAAAACAAAACCCTCGTCTCTGGTGCTCTTTAACATTTGCATATAACAAAAGTAAATATCCAGTACTTGTAATCTTCCACCCACCTTAATGAGAAGAACAACTCCAAAATAATCTTATTTCAATAACTGGGCAAAGTGCCAAGAGTCTTCCAAGAATCTTATAAGATTCTCTCATGTTACTTAAGCTCTTAATGTAACATTTCTGAAATGTGGGGGAAGTGGTAAGAGGGAATGATCCTTAATTATGCTTTATTTAGACTTTTTATTGTTGAAACAATCAGCAAAAGGAACATCTGACACAGGCTGCCTTTCAGGTATCAGAAATAACTATGTGCATGTCATCCATATCACTGTCTTCTAAATGCTGCTTCACAAATTCGGTGTTTGAAAGCTTTTTAAAGCCAAACACTCAAGGGTAATGAAAATATAATATATTCATATCACAATCCACTTGGAAAGTAAGATTTGGAATGAAAGTTATGGGAACATTTTAGTTGATAAAACAGATCAATACCTTATCAAATCCAGTGTCCTGTCTCCAAAAGTGGCCAATTCCAGATGTTTCAAATATACTATAGTGCCCATAATTATTCAGTGTTGGAGTACATGGAGGAAATTGTTTTCCCCAGACTTAGCTAGTGACCACCTTTTGTCCTGAAACATAAGACTTGCTAACCTTACAATTGTTTTCTCTGTATTCTACACATGGTTTTGTTGCATCATATGAAGGTATTTCCATCCATAATTATCTTTGATTGTGCTATTTGGACTTTAAATCTTTTGAATGTAATTGATTTTGTAAACCAGATGGTTGTATCATGTATCGTAAATACTCATATTTACTTTGTATACAAACAATGTAGCCTATTGAATATGTCCTCATAAGTTACTGATAGAAGGACATGTTCACTTTCATTGATATATGGCAGGGAGGGGGGAAGGTCTGTAATTCTGTGTTATCAAACTTTACCAGCCGTATATGTGTGTGTGTGTTGTGTATTGTTTTTTTGTTTTATTTTTTTAGGAGGTTGGGTTGGAGCTGAAATTGGCAACACAATTGAAAGATTTGACCCTGAATTAAATAGCTGGGAGCTGGTAGGCAGTATGCCTGTGCCCCGCTACGATTTTGGATGTTGTGAAATGCAAGGTGAGTGGTTTTTGGTTATGACTTTCCCATATAGCCCCTCCCCCTGACTGAGGCTCAGCCAATTAACAGAGGCGTCTAGATTTCAAACCTTTTAGAAGCTCCTTCAAACAAACAAACCAAACAGACAAACACAAGCTCAGCACACTGCAAATAACTCCCCCCCACACACAAACACACACTCCAGACAGCCACTTACCACAAGGGTCCCGTTTTTACTCCTCTTTTACCTGGAGAACTCCCTCTCCAAACTCTCCTGTTACCTGTTCCTGGTCGCGCACCCAGTACGGCCGTTCTTATGTTCTTATACGAATAATAAACAATAGTTCAGAGAGGTGGTTGTGTAAAGCATTTAGAGGTTTACATTTCAACCAGGAATCCCTGCCTTATATCCACCTTGTAGCTTTGTAAGACTTGTTGAGCTCTGAGAGCATATCAGTGGTTCTCTTCCTTTCTGCCATTTCTTCTTTTCTGATGTGTATTTTTATTCCTGTGGAAATTGAACCAAAAGGTCTCCACTCATTTAATAAAATGTAATAAACCAGCTTAGAAAATTTCCTTGGCCCATCAGTTACCAGTCTTTATTAAACTTAATGCTGTTTACCTCAGACCATTTCTCCAATTTGTCGAGATCATTTTTAATTATGACCCCATCCTTCAAAGCAGTTGCAACCCCTCCCAGCTTGGTATTCTCTGCAAACTTAATAAGTGTACTTTCAATGCCAATATCTAAGTTGTTGATGAAGATATTGAACAGAGCCGGTCCCAAAACAGACCCCTGCGGAACCTTACTTGTTATACCTTTCCAGCAGGATTGTGAACCATTAATAACTATTCTGAGTACGGTTATCCAGCCAGTTATGCATTCACCTTATAGTAGCCCCATCTAAGTTGTATTTGCCTAATTTCTTGATAAGAATATCACGTGAGACCATATCAAATGCCTTACTAAAGTCTAAGTATACCACATCCACCGCTTCTCCCTTATTCACAAGACTCGTTATCCTATCAAAGAAAGCTATCAGATTGGTTTGACATGATTTGTTCTTTACAAATTCATGCTGGCTGTTCCCTATCACCTTGCCACCTTCCAAGTGTTTGCAGATGATTTCCTTAATTACTTGCTCCATTATCTTCCCTGGCACAGAAGTTAAACTAACTGGTCTGTAGTTTCCTGGGTTGTTCTTATTTCCCTTTTTATGGATGGGCATAATATTTCCCCTTTTCCAGTCTTCTGGAATCTCCCCTGTCTCCCATGATTTTCCAAAGATGATAGCTAGAGGCTCAGATACCTCCTCTATCAGCTCCTTGAGTATTCTGGGATGCATTTCATCAGGCCCTGGTGACTTGCAGGCATCTAACTTTAGTTAGTTCCTAAATGCATGACCTTGCAACTTTGCACTATTAACTGTCATTCCATTTCTGTTACTCCAGTTTACAAGGTCATCCAGATCTTGTATGGTATTCCTGTCGTCCTTGGTATTGGCAGTACCTCCCCACTTTGTGTCCTCTGCACATTTTATTAGCACATTCCCACTTCTTGTGCTGCGGTCAGTAATAAAAATGTCAAATAAGGTTGGTCTCAAGACTGATTCCTGAAGAATTTTACCAGTAACCTTCCTCTAGCCTGAGAGTTCATTTTTCAGTATGACCCATTGTAGTCTCCCCTTTAACCAGTCCCGTAGCCGCCTTTCAGTTTTCATATTAATCCCCGTTATCTGCAATTTAATTAATTTCTCATAGAGAACTGTATCAGACGTCTTACTGACATCCAGGTAGATTAGATCTACTGCATTTCCTTTGCCTAAAAAATGAGTTAACTTCTCAAAAAAAAAGTCTCAGAGGGGTAGTCGTGTTAGTCTGTAACTGAAAAAAAATGAATGGCCCTGCAGCACCTTATAAACAAAAATGCAGATAGTATCATGAGATTTCATGGACACAACCCACTTCAGATGAACGGTGCAAGGGCTCCAGAGGTACAAATAAAT